TAATATCTTTTCCTTCATGGACGGTTTCTATGGCTACAATCAGATCAAGATGGCATCCGAAGATATGGAAAATACAACCTTTGTCACATAATGGGGCACTTTCTGTTACAAAGTGATGCCATTTGGGTTGAAGAATGCTGGGGCAACCTATCGGCGAGCTATGGTAGCTTTGTTCCATGATATGATTCACCATGAGATAGAGGTTTATGTTGATGACATTATAGCCAGGTCTCAAACGGAAGAAGGGCACCTGGACCACTTGCAAAAGCTGTTTGATAGACTGAAGACGTACAAGTTGAGGTTGAATCCGAACAAATACACCTTTGGGTTAAGGTCTGGTAAACTCCTGGGTTTCATTGTCATTGACAAGGGTATTCAGGTAGACCCTACAAAGGTTAAAGCCATACAAGATATGTTGGCTCCTCGCACTGAGAAAGAAGTTAGGGGTTTCTTGGGACGTTTAAATTACATTGCTAGGTTCATTTCTCATCTAACTGCTGCTTGTGAGCCAATCTTCAAACTCCTGAAGAAAGATCAAGTGGTAAAGTGGAATGATGAATGACAGACTGCCTTTGATAGAATTAAGGAATACCTTCAAGAGCCTCTAATTCTGATGCCTCCGATTGAAGGAATACCTTTGATAATGTACTTGACAGTGTTAGATAATTCAATGGGGTGTGTGATGGGAAATCATGACGAGTCTGGTTGAAAATAGCATGCAATATACTACCTTAGCAAAAAGTTTACCGACTGTGAAACAAGATTCTCACTGCTCAAGAAAACGTGTTGCGCTTTAGCATGGGTTGCTCGCCGACTGAGGCAGTATATGTTGACCCACACTACTTTATTGATATCTAAGATAGATCCGATCAAGTACATCTTCGAGAAGCCCGCTCTCTCTGGAAGAATAGCGAGATGGAAAATGATCCTGACCGAATACGACATTCAATACACGACCCAGAAATCAATCAAAGGAAGTGTATTAGCTGATCATTTGGCTCATCAAGCTGTGGACGACTACCAATCTATGAACTTTGAATTCCCGGATGAAAATATTATGTTAGTGACTGACTGTGAAGAACCTGAACCGGATGAAGGACATGAGAAAGGATCTCGATGAACTATGGTTTTTGACGGAGCTTCTAATGCACTTGGCAATGGTATCAGTGCTGTAATCATATCTCCCGAGGGCTGTCATGCTCCTTTCATTGCCAGACTATGTTTTAACTGTACCAATAATATGGCTGAGTATGAAGCATGCATCATGGGTCTCAAAGCTGTTATTACCCTGAGGATCAAGTTCTTGAGTATTTTCAAAGATCCGGCCTTGGTAATAAGTCAAATCAAAGGAGAGTGGGACACAAAGCACCCTAATCTCATCCCTTACAAAGAACATGTGCTAACATTGCTTCCTCACTTTGAAGAAGTCACCTTTGAACATTTTCCACGAGAAGAGAATCAGTTAGCGGACGCGCTAGCTACCATGTCATCCATGTTCAAGGTCAGATGGGACAACGAAGCTCCTCAGATCACTATTGAGAGATTGGATGAACCAACTTACTTCTATGATATTGATACTGAAGAAGTAATGGACGAACTTTGGTTCCATGAAGTGAAAAGGTATCTCAAAGCTCAAGTATACCCTGAGGGGGCATCTATCAATGATAAGAAGTTTCTGAGAAGGTTCTCCGCAAAGTTCTTCCTCAGTAATGGAATCCTCTACAAGTGCAACCACGACTCTAATTTACTTCGTTGTGTAGACAAGAGCAACGCAGAGAGGATTATGAAAGATTTACATGAAGGTACCATTGGTACCCATTCTAGTGGACACACCATGGCTAAAAAGATCCTACGGGCATGATACTACTGGTCCACTATGGAAGATGACTGTTATCAGCATTCCCGAACTAATCACAAATGCCAGATCTATGTTTATAAAGTACATGTACCTATGGTTCCCTTGAACGTCTTGACTGGTCCCTGGCCCTTTGCAATGTGGGGCATTAATATGATCGGAGAAATCAAACCTACCGCTTCAAATGGGCATCGCTTTATCCTAGTCGTTGTTGATTACTTCACATAGTGGGTTGAGGCTGCCTCTTTTGCTATTGTTACCAAGAATGTTGTGGCGTGGTTCATCAAGCATAACTTTATCTGTCGGTATGATGTTCTAGAAAGAATCATCACAGATAATGGTACAAATCTCAACAAAACTATGATCACCGAACTCTGTAAGCAATTCAAGATCCAGCATCATAACTCTTCTCCTTACCAGCCGAAGATGAATGGTGCTTGTTGTACCCCAAAATTTACCCTCTTTATTTTCATTATTACATACACACATATCATTGGTTTTATGGTTATGGAATTAAGGTATATTTAGCAAGCTTCGTCAGGTTAGAAGTGACGTTAATTTCGCCAATGGATGTTCTCAGTATTTTCCATGCTGAAGATCGGTTTGCTGTTTCGCAATGATTCGGGGTTCAAAGATTCACAAGTCCAATCCGGCGCGTCATATTCAGGTGTTCTTTTGCTAAGATATCCCTGATAATATATTCTTAAATTCAGTTTCGGCTCGAGAGCCAATTCTTTAAAGAAGGTCTCCGAATGTGCGATTTTTTCTCGAAGAAATATGGTAAAAAGTATGCTGAAAGTGCAGTTTTTACGCACTAAAAAATTCATAACTTAAAGATCAGGGCTTATTTTGAACCCGTTCCAGTGGCCAAAATTCTGTCTTAACGTCATCTACGTTTTCATCGCTCACGGATGGAAGCCAATTTCGATCAGAAGGTCTTCAAAAATGCGGATTTATCAAGTATTTTCGTACAAAAAAATTGTGAGAAGTTTATTTGTGTCTGAAACAACCGGCTGAAAATCATCAAACAATGAAGTCACCATTGAACGTCTTTTATCCCACATGTAGGGAAAGGTAAACATCGAGAAAACCTGAGAAGGGAGAAGTCACGGTCTTGCGATCGAGAGATCGGGTAAGGGAGTCTGTTACGCAAGGAGAAGGTATTAGCACCCCACACGCCCGTAGTACTCTACGGTATCCACTCTTGTTATCTATCTTATGGGTGTGTTTAATCTATGCTTACTGTTTATTACTGCTAAAGGGAGAATGCATGCAAAATAAAGGAGAAAAGAACGTAGGGAAAATAAAATTGTGCTCGCTTGGGCCCTACCCCAATGCCTACGTATCCGTTTTGAGGAATCAGAGCTACCGTAGTTCGGCTCACACGTTTTTGTTTGTTTATGTTTTTTATGGACAAAGTTAATTCCGCCTTCTGCCGCAGCTCGACCTTTGGAGACTTATGCATTGGCACAAAAGTAAACTAATCGTGTCCTTACCTGAAAAGGGTTTTTTAAGAAAGGAGCTCGAGCGCACAAAAGATTTGAATTGGTTTATATTTTGTTGTAGATGTTTTTTGTGGACGAAGTTAATTCCGCCTTCTGCCGTAGCTCGACCTTTGGAGACTTATGCGTTGGCACAGAAGTAAATTAATCGTGTCCTTATCTGAAAAGGGTTTCTTAGAGAAATGGTGCTCGAGCGCACAAAATGGTTTGAATTTGTTTTGTATTTTCGTTGCAGATAATGACTAGTCGACCTCAAGAGAGAGATATTTGCCATTTTTCTACTTAGTCATGAAAGGAGTCTTTGAGAATTGAACCACACCTATGCTTGAGATGAAGAACAATAAGATCGAGAAGAGACCCGCTTATCATTTCCCGTACTAAGAAAAAGCATGATTCTAATCAATAGTTTTAAAGTGTTTTGAATTCTTTTGAAAAGAAAAAGAAGTTTTAGTTTTAGATGCGTATGCAAAAGGAGTTAAAGGGGGATTAGCCTATTCCTAAACCTGATGTTATCGTGCATTGTTAGACCTAAAGTTAGAATTATGAGGGAATTCTACCCAATGTTAGCATGCATATGGATTGCGATAAAGTACGAAAATGAAGAATAAAATAGATTTGTGACGATACCGAACGGAGAAGGCCCGTTGCCTCTTCAAAATTGTGCAAGCGATAAGAGAATTCTATCAAAGTTTCCTGGAGCGAGTGACTGAAGAATTCACCCCGAGCATTCCACATTGCAAGAGTTATGTCGATGCTATCACAAAAATCTTGACTAAAAAAATGGCAATAAAAATGATTACCAAATATAAAAGCAGCAATAGAACATTCTAATAAAATTCTAAAGAGAAAACCAAAAAAAAATTATAAAATGTTCTAATATTTTTGTATTATTTTTATTATTAATTAAGAGAAAAATTAAACTAAAATAAAAACTGAAATAATAATAAAAAACAAGTTAGAAGAGTTAGGGGATATGAAGTCTAGAAATATGGGTGATGAAGCAATGTGATGCATAGCCCAATAGCAAGGGTCCAAATTATTTCTTTTTGTTCAGAAACCAAGAGATATACCAAAAAGCATGGTGACGGGCCTGGAGAGAGTGAGGTTAGGTCCATCCCATTACTAAAACCATCTTAAAACAAAAAACTCATATTTATTTTATGTATTATTTCAGCATTATCTAAAGGAAAATATAAAATATAAAATAAAAATTAAAGTAAAAATGAAAGGGAGGATACGGTGTCGTATGGTCCAAAGGCATAGGGTTTGTGACTGTTAAGCTATGCAACAACGAAATTTCCTTACTCAATTCCGAACCGTCGCGCCGATCTCACCATTCCCTCATTACCGGCGATTTCTTCCTATCTCTTCCATCGATTTTCGAAATGATGAGACTCGCTTCACAATCGCCGTTGATAAATCGCTGCTCCGCTGACGGATGAAGCTTCCGAGATCCGGCATGGTGCTGTTGACGGAGTTACTTGGCAGAGACTCGTCGTTTTTGTTTCTCTTCTTCTACGCTTTGGCTTCATAATCCGGCTCAAGCTCATTCATGGTGGCGTAAATGGCTACTTCATCTTCTCTGCGTTGTTCGCGGTATAAGGCCACTGTTTACCTCCACCGATCTTCCGACAGACGCCTCAATGCTTCCCCTTTTATGTGCCGTTAACATCACCAACACCGCCCTCAACCTATTTCCGATTCTGATTTGCAACACAGCACCTCCGCGATCATCTCCTTCCGGCCGCGATTCATTCCCTCGAAGCTCACTTCTTCGCCTCGCTCTCACCCGCTTTATCAGTCGCGTCTCAATCTTTATGTTTCACCTTCAGAACAAGCCATCAAGCAAACATCGTATACCATGGATCCACGGATCCGATCTATACCTGAGAGAAATCTGGCGTTTCTTCGATTCAGGTACGATTTAGCCCATATTTCTGATTACTCGGCATTTCTTCTTCTTCCATGTTCTTGTGTACCAGTGTTGTTGTTGATTCTGATTCGTGATCTTGACGTGTTGGTGATGATTGTTGTTGAAGCGTTGTTGCTGATCCAGGTTGTAGGAGATGAAGATAAAGATGAAATGTTGATGATGATGATTGAAGCAAGATGCAGAAAAATAGATATGCTTGTGGTGTAAAGATGATGATGAAAGTTGCCGATTCTGATGCGATTTGCAGAAGATCAAGGTTGAAGAGAACCTTGAGGATTGAAGACGAAGATGCTTGAAGATTAAAAATGAAGAGGTTTGAAGAATTGTGCGTTCTTGAGAGTTGCATAGGAATTTGTCAGAGAATAATTTAGAGGTGTGTTTCTCTCTCTGAGCTTCTGTTGTTTATCTGGTGCATGTTGATGCGGGTTCTCGCGAAGTTGATTATTCGTTTTTGATACAGGTGCATTGCAGAATTAATGTTGAAGAACCAAGAAAGAAAGATGATGATGTTGCAGGAGTAATAATTATGAAGGTTAAAGATGTGTTGAGGCTGAAAGTTATTGATGAAGATGAACGATGAAGATGCTTCAAGTTGTGGTTCAAAGAGAACGATGAAGGTTGATGAAACAGATGGAAATGGAAGATTGATGAAGCCGATTAAGATGAAGGAATGTAGAGTGATATTGGTCGGTTCTGAGAATTTGTGGAGTCTGAAGGAGAGAAAAGTGAGGAATATGATTCATGATTTTTTCAGAGTGCGTGAAGGATAAAGCAATTACTAGGTAATTCTGTTTTTCTATTATTGATCTCTTCCTGGAAGTTTTCTATTCCCTCAATCCCGAATTCTCTTTCTGCTAAAAGTTCTGTTATTTTTTCTGGTGAAGTTTGTTAGAGTGTTAGAAAGTCTGTTAGGATTGGTTTTGATAGTTGGAAGTTTGTTATTTTCTGTTGGCTTTTTATTCTGTTACTGAGTTGGCCCTTTTGTTAGGAACTAATCTAGACCCTGTTTCTTTTTCGTACTTCTGTTGAACTGGTCTATTGGTTATATGCAGGCTTTAGTAAACTTGGGTAACAACAGGGCAACCGGTTCATTATGCAGCTCAAGGTTTAATGACAGTGGCAATGCACCTCTTGGAAACATGGAGGATTGGAGCAAACAAAGTAGATCTGGTTTTGATGTCATGAAGATGTCTTGAAAAGGCTTTGGATTAGGAACAATAGGTTTAGGACTTTTTTTTTATTGTATGGTTACTATGCATTTGGAATGGTATATTGGAATGACTTTGAAACAAAATGATTTTCTATTTGTATAATTTTCTTTGAATGATGTAGAATGAATCTCCTGGATATGTACCAAACATGACTCGATCATGGAAAGCATTGCATATGGAAACATGGTTTGGAATGGAATGGTCTTGAAACGCGAAACATGTGATGGTTCTTCTTGTAATGAGATCAAATTTGTGAGGTGACTTGATTTGTGAACTTGAATGTCCTTTATGATTCCCTATAAATTTTGAATGTATTGAATCCTTTTTCAACCATACTTTGAAATAAATTTTTCCTCCATTATGCTTGTAACTTGAATGAAACAGACATAGATTTAAATAGAACTTTGGTCAAAAGTTAACTTCCCTAAATTGACAATCCTTATCATGGGGCGTCTCATTCCAAAACTTGAATCCAATTTAATATTTCACAAAGAATCGAATCCAAACCCATTTATATGCCATGCCTATATTTGAATAATGGAAGATGAATTAAGTGAACTCGAAAATGGCCACTTGAACCATATGAATCTTCCAATCTTATCTTGAATCAACCATTGAAAGATCATGAAATTGAGATCTTGAACCAATATTAATCTTGAGCACAATCAGAAGTTTCAATGCATCCAAATTGGCATCCCATTCCTCTTGAAATCTTAGTTAACTTGTAATCGAAGCAACAAGTGTTTGAAAGAACGATGATATTTCGAACTCAATGAACTCACAACTTCATCTTTTGTACCATATCTTGCATTTTGCAATCCGATCCGCGCTATATCTTGACTTTATGGATAACAACAATGCCCTGAAGGCACCTTGAAGTATAGAAAGAGATGTAATATGAAGCTCAATGAACCTCAGCCAATAGATATTACAAATTCACACATAGAAGATGTGGCACCCTAATCCACTTGTTTTTGATGAATTCTTGATGGAGGATGACCTTGTATCTTGATGTTGAGAAGAAGAGAATAGCCCTGTAACTTGATGCTGAGAAGAAGAGAATAGCCCTGTACTTGATGCTGAGAAGAAGAGAATATCCTTATAGTTTGATGATAAAGAAGTCTAGAAAATAAACCCTAGCTTCAAACAAATTATTAATGGAGAAATCAACCGAAACAAGCTTGTGCGAAGATGAGAGCCTTAAAGCCATACACCAACCCTTATTCCTCGAAATCCATGATCTTATGCCAATTTATTGATTAATGATGCATGATGTGTTAGATGACCTGATGAATTTTATGTGCATAAAAAAAAAGTGTGAGACGCATAAGCCAGATAAAAGTAGAAGGGTAGGACAAATTTGGGGTATTACAGCGTCATGTTCAGAAAATCATAACTTGGTCGATTTTCATCGTATTAAGCTGGTTCTGGCGCCAAAATTTCAAAAATTAAGTTGGTTATGTTTTCACAGGAGGTATCGAGTTCGAACAGTATCCAAAAGGCCTTCATTTTTTGCCCAGAGTGCACATGACGCGCCGAAAATCCTGAATGCTGAATATTATTTCATCTGGGTCGAAACTTTGAAAATTCATAACTCGGTCAATTTTTATCGGTTCGGGCCCATCTGTTTACACAAGGTCACTGACTCAGATATCTACAACTTTTCTTCCAAAGTCGGGACTGGGTTATGCTCCATTCAATACCATTTTTTATTGAAAAATGTGTCAGAGTTGACACTAGAGCCCAAAATAAGTTTGTTTGAGGCGAAACTTCAAAAATTCATAAGTAATTCACTGTTTATCCGATTGAGCCAATTTTCGGACAGGAGTTTTTTATTGATGCAGGCTACATTTTGTTTTCACATTTCAACTTCAAAAATTGCATTTAAGTCCCTGAAATTTAGCCTGGAACGTGTCAGACTCAAGTGAATAAAAATCTGCACTATTGCTTGTGGTTATTGGAGGCCCAATTGCACATCCAAAGCCCATATCTTTGTCCTAATTTCCATTATATAATCTCATTCTTTTTACACAAACATGACACAAAAAAAAAAGCTTTGCCACAACCCTGTCAAAATATCAATTTCTTTCAAGAACCCTAAAAATCTTGAAATCCTTGTTAGAAACCCCCATCTCACCACAAACAAGCCATCCTCGTAACAAAGCTTCATCTCACTACTTCTCCAGTAAGGGTAAGGCTGATTTGATCTCCATGATCAAAAGAGTGTAGAAGCATTCATACATGCCATATCGGTTTTAACATTACAAAATTTCATATATTTGCTTTCTTTGTATTTCATGATATAGTAATTTATTTAATGTGTTCATGAGATTCAACGCTGTAGATTTAGACATGGTCCCACGCAGGGTTATTACACAACACTGAGGCCGAATCATAACAACAACCAATACATGACAAGGCAGATATCCTGAAGAAGTTAAGGGCGTGGGTTCAACACCCACCCCTATTGATTTTGGTTTTCTTCCTTTCTATTTATCCTTTTACCTATTTTCATTCTTTCTGTTTAAAACCTTTTTCATAAAACCTAACATTTTTCACAAACCTTTGATCTTTCATAATTAACTCGAATAATTAATTTTAGGTTTTTTTTATTTAATTTTAGGTTTTAAATTAATTTTTGGTTCAACACCCACCCCTGACATTTGCATTATTTATATTTTCTAACCCTATTTTTCATTGATGTTTCTTCCCCTATCAATTTTTTGGCAAACTTAATTCTTTTTTGTTAATCATTACACATAAACTTTTTTTTAAAACCTTTTTTGATTAAAATTAATTAGGTTTTAGGTTTTTTTAGTTAACCTTTTTTTTAATTAAAATTAATTAGGTTTTAGGTTTTTTTTATTTAACTTGTTTTTTCAAAATTAACCTTTTTTATTAATTAAAATTAATTAGGTTTTAGGTTTTTTTTAATTAACCTTTTTTTTTCAAAATTAACCTTTTTTTATTATTAATTAAAATTAATTAGGTTTTAGGTATTTTAATTAACTTTTTTTAAAAATTAACTTTTTTTATTAATTAAAAGTAATTAGGTTTTTTAGGTTTATTTAATTAATTATCATAAATTATTTTTTCATAAAAAATCACCAAAACATTTTCTTTGCTATTTTCATCTTATTTTTATTTTCCTAGATAAAGTGTATAGGATGCGTTCAACTGTAATAGCGTAACTTTATTTTTCCCGCTTTTTTTCCCATCATTATCATGTAATTGCTTTCGGGATGTAATAGTTTTAGGATTTCTTTTCCGCACTCTTCACTATTATGTAACTGCCCCAAAGCTCTGTAATAGCTTAGGTTTACATTTCCGTCTTTACCTTCTGCTACTATATTTTATGCAATGCTTAGATTAATAGGATTTCATGGAAAGATAAAAATGAACGATAGAAAACCCTAATTGCAAGATAAATAATCGAATTGAATCATTTGCACACTCGCACCTCTAGGGTAACCTCACTTGTTGCCTTCGGAAAAACAATGCTCATGTCCCTCGAACATAGGTATACCCTAAGCAAAGACCATAGGTTAAAGTCATCATAAAGATCATAGTCCCTCAATGTCCCTCGAGTTGCCTACGAGAAATGATCTTGTCCCTCGATGTTGTCTACAAATATATGATGACAGTCCCTTCGAACTGCTAAGGTATCCCTATATGTTGCCTTCTATGACCATAACGATGACCCGTAATTGTCCCTCATACATCCAACGATAGGGCTACCTACTCACTAATAGTAGGATAGCACTCTCTAAAGGATAGAGAGAAAAGAATGACCTTTTCGAGTATAAGTAGATAAGTTCTTAGATGCTTGCTCAAAATAACTTTTTGCACCTCCACAAAAATATTTCAAAACACTTTTAAAAACATTCGCCTTGTCAACACTCTTGAGGACTGATACAAGAGTTATCATAAAGCGAATTGCCGCACTAAAGTATTTTCAAAACAAAATATTTTAAAACACACAAACACGAAAACAATTTTAAAAAATGAGCAAGTACCTTAGAGCCCGTAAATAACTACGGATGGAAAGGGTGCTAACACCTTCCCTTTCCATAATCTACCCCCTACTTAGAAAATCTCGAAAAACATCTTTTTCTGTTCTTTTCACCCTTTCGTTTGTTGGATAAAAGAAAAGTTGGTGGTGAATCTTTCTTACCGCGACATTTGCGAACAAAAAACACAAACAAGTATAAACAGTCGGTTCTGCCACTGTATCATAGTGCTGTAGAAGCTGCTAATAAGAATATTAAGAAGATCATCTGGAAGATGATGGTGACATACAAAGACTGGCATGAGATGTTACCATTTGCTCTTCATGGTTACCGCACCTCAGCACGTACGTCAACAGGGGAAACACCTTTCTCTCTGGTGTATGGTATAGAGGTTGTCCTACCTATTGAGGTCCAGATCCCTTCTTTGAGAATCATGAAGGATGTAGGTTTGAACGAAGATGATTGGATCCAGACTCGACTTGACCAATTGAACTTGATTGACGAGAAAAGGTTAGCGACTATTTGTCATGGTCAGATGTACCAAAAGCGAATGATCAAGGCTTTCAACAAAAAGGTTAGACGTCAGGTATATCAAGTGGTTGATCTAGTAATCAAGCGTATCATCCTGCCACAAGGTGATCCCAGGGGAAAATGGACTCCTACATACGAAGGGCCATTTGTAATCAAGAGCATATTTTATGGTGGAGCCATGATTTTAACCACTATGGATGGTGACGACCTTCCTCACCTTGTGAACGCGGACATATTTAAATGATACTACGCATGAATAAAAACCTGCTAGGTTGACTGGCCTAGGTAAAAATAAGGGCATCCTGGCGAACCAAAAGGGTTCGGGCAAAAATTAGGGATAAATAAAATAAAAATCTGTACACCTGGCAAGTCGAAAACCTGAAAAGGCGTCTTGGGCAAAAAAGGGTATCCCGGTGGACCAAAAACCCGAAAGAGCGGTCCAGG